GGTTTCAATTGATGTAAAATTAAACAGCACAGAATATTTCTTGTCTTTATAATGTTCCTGGGAGCTATTATTGCTACTGAACAACTGAGAGCAAAATGCACCTAAATCCCTCAGGTGCCTGTGGCAAGAACAGGAAGGTGAATTTTTGGTTGTCACATCTACTTTCCCAACCTAAACACTGTCCTGTCATCCAGTACATCCTTTACATTCTTATTTAAATGATGATATTAGACCTAAAACTATTTCTGCCTGGAAAAAGATTTTGTTATCTCATGGGCCACCAGCCAGATGAATATTCCATAAGAGCAAATCAACATTTATAAATGAAATACCATTCCATTTCCAATCGTACACAAGCACCTGTCCAGAGCTTTGGCAGGATCTGATTTTGAAATCATGCATCACAAATCTTATTTCTTCTTGTTACACCACCTGAATGCCACATGAAAAACGGTTCTGCTTCTATTTGGAAATTTTTAGAAGTCAGATTTTAGGGTGCAAGGCCTTGGCCTGCACAGGTGGTGTCTGTGTGGTGGAGGCTGAATCCTGTCCTTTTTCCTCTTGCAGTATTATTGAAAAATAGGCTGACTTTGTCTTTAAACACTATTTCTGTGTCCGTAAGGCATTTTCATGGGAAATTTTATGGTTTAAATGGATATACAGACAGACAAAAGGATACAATGGTGATTTTTGTTGTTGATGAACTCATGAGATTTTGAAATCTGCCTGGGTTTAAAACATAAGAATTCTCCAATGATGACTTAAAATTTCTCCTTGGCTCCAGGATCTGTGGCCGCCCAAAAGAACAAAGTTCTTTGTAAACAAGTTGCATCCTAAAAGAGCAAAGCACAGACTTTTCCCCCCCATTTGTCACATGAGCAAGCCATGAACTGAAAAAGAGCAATATTGCATTAGAAGAGAAACCACTAAAAGATGTTCCTTCTCTTGAAAGATCAAGGAGGCATGCAGGTTAGTGAGGGAGAGAATAATGCCAGGTTTTATCCAACACTGCAATTCTCTTTATTTATATATATATTTTTTTAAGAAAACATAGTAAAGCTTGCTGCACTCTCAACAGTTCTATCAAGGGTTGGATTAGCCCTAACAGCCCTGTTTCCACAGAGTTTGAGGCACCAAAAAAAGGCTGAACAGTGTTTTGTGAGTTCCCATTGAAATGTTAGCGCCACGTATCTGGAAATTTCAGATATAAACACTTTTCAAAAACAGCACCAAAGCCATCATGGCTTGATTGCTGTAACTGGTGTGGAACAGAACTCAGAACACCCAGAGGCTCAAGCCAGAGGGATTTATACATAAGTGCTTGCATCTGGAGGGTGCCTGTGTAAATATAGGATTTTGCCCACACATGTGCTGTCTGAAACACTTTAGATATCTAAAATTGTTCCAGCCTTGCTGCTTAAAAGGCCACAAATACTTTAGCACTGTGCACAATATAAACTTCGTATTGTAAAGGGAGAGTGGCTTCACTTCGCTAAATTTGCTGTAACCTTGTAAATTTTGCCACACACTGGAGCTTCCTGATTAGCAAAAATAAGGTGGCTTTCAGGAAAAAAAATGCAGAATGGATCTCAAATGTGGTTATGAAGTTACTGCACTCGGTCAGAGTGAAAAACTTAATTTTGATGTGTATTGATATGCTTCAGTTGTCATGAAGATCAGCAGGATAGGGAACGTCCAGTGCCCAAGGCCACTCAACTTTTTGAATTAGCCATGGATTTGGGTGCAGGATCTTTTATCAGAGCAGCTTGCTTAGATCCTGGGAAAAATAATGGGTTTGGAGAATCAGAAAAATGTTTAGAAATTTCAAATTGAGCATTAACTTGGGAATATCCAAAGTAGACCATTCTGGCTGCCTGTCCTTTTCCTCATGCATTGCTCATGTCTAAGTTTGCTGGTTTGAGTTCACTGTTAGACTGAAAGGGATAGACCTGAATTTTCCTTTGTCCCCAAATCAGTTTGCACCTCTGATTCTTTGAATCAGTTACTTAATGTAAAGGTGAAGGTGGAGCTGAAGCAATTGGTCATGCAGCAGTTAATGTGAGACTGCAGGAAATGGGGAATAATTCTGACATCTCTGGTCCTGAACGTGCTTTCAGTTTATGCCAAAGCTCAATGCCCACCAGAAACCAGTGTCTTCCACTTAGTTTTCCCCACCATTTACACTTTTGCTTCTATCATGTGAGGACAACAGGAATTTACTTTCCCCTCAGTGTCTCTGTTTCTTCTTGTCATTGATTTCTTGTGTCTCCCTTCAGCAGCTGGCATTGTTTCACATCCAGTGGGGTTAGTTTTACATCTGAAGAATTTTTAGGATGTACTCCAAGCAAGTACACAGCCTGAGGTAGGGAGGGGACAAAGGAGATGGTGCAGAAGGTTTTTTTGATCTGGAAATATAAATTTCTTGTGAGGACCGTGTGACTAACAGTGTGTGTCAGAGGAACTGTGTGGTGCAAAGCAGGTAATGAGGTTTCTAAGAACAAACTCTGCCTGCCTTGGAGGGTAAAAGAACATCCTCAAAGGCCACGAGGCTACAGAGGCTTAATACAAAATGCAGTCTCAATGAAGGCTGTTGAAACAAATGCAAACTACCTCAAGACAGGACCATGTGTACAATACTTATCACAGTCTTATTCCCATCTGCATCATTACTGAGGGAATCCCAAGCTGTAATTCCTCCTTATATTTCCAAAGAAAACACTGGATTTGTTCAGCTAATTAAATGTCTGCAAGCCCAAGCTTTTTTAACAAAGGGAGTGCTCTCTTTTTTCATGAAGGAGAGTTGTAGAGATGGGTTGTACCATGAATCTGCAGGGATATTGTAGAACATGTAAGGCAGGTGAGTCAAAACAGTGTAACTGAAGCTTCAGAGCTGCAGATTATATAAACCCAGTGTAGTTATAGTGATGCTGAGCTCTGCCAGCTGACAGGAGCCAAAACCTGTCTGCAATGCTTCAAAATCCACTTCTTGTGTCAGCCCAGGACAATAATCACTCTGTGAGCTTTGCTCATTTGCTTTCTTTCACAGACAATGAGCTAAATCCCATTCTCCAATATTTATGCCTGGATTTGGATATGCACATTCTTCTTTTGAAACAGTAAAATATTCAAAATGTTAAGTTGTGTAAGAATCTCATTTGGCATGGTACATTTTTCTCATTGAACATTATTCTCATTTCTAATTCTATTGTCTGCTGCACCTCAGTGATGTTACTGCACCTCCAACAGAATTATTCCACAGTGCATGACTTGGATTTGTGCTCTGCACTCAGAGACAATAACCCAGCTTGGGAAAACAGGAGCTCCAGAATTAATACAGGGCAAGAATCAGGAGACAGAACCTCGAAGCTACAGTTGTTTTTGTTGGAAGAATTCTGCTCACTGCTACCAGCTTTATTCTCTAGAGCACAGGCATATTAGGCTTAATCTCTTCATTATTTAACTCCGAGTATAGCAATGGTGTTCTCCTTTTTATATCCACTCTGTAGAAGTTAGAAAAGCCAAGAATGAGCTCTGTAGATAGGATTTTTGGCTTTCTTTAACCATTCAGTTTCATCTTCAAGCCTCAGATCTACTCAAAGGTCAGATTTACTGGACAAAAAGTTCCAGACCAAATTCATGTTTGTTAAACATTTATTTTTAATCACAGCATTAATCTGTGAGCAGTCATTCAGCTTCAGCTTCTTATTTTGGTGGCATTAGGAAGGGAAAGTAGAACTCTAGGTAACAAGTCTAAGAATTTGGGATTTGTTTTCCATTAAGGCATTAAGGGCTAGAGTCAGAATTTCCTTTATTTTTTTTTTTTTCCCCATGAAGAGCAGAATATTTGTTATACTTTTAGCAAGACAGCAGGGGATATACGTGGTTGAATAAAACAATCCTGCAGGGCTACTTCAACAGTCAGTAGAGACCTACCCAGTCCAGAGAAGAAAATCCTTTTGTACATTTATTTAACTTTAAACAAGATTAAATCTCATTTTATGGCCTGTTTCTCACCAGTCACTGCCAAGCTGGCATGGGGTGGCAAGGAAAAAGGCATGCAACTAAAAAAAAATTAGAGGAGATACAACTGAAAGACAACTTTGCTGAGGAGCACCTGGGCTTACTCTGGATGAGAGGGTGAATGGCTCTGCCTGCGCAGAGCTGCAGCCGCTGCAGTGGGATGGGATTGCAGAATCTGTTTGTTGCTCACACAACAAGCTCTGTTTTCCAAACTGCTCCATCTGATCTGTGTAAGGGCGTGGGGTTTGTAAATGTAGTTGGTGTTTCGAAGGGAAACAAGTGCAGCTTCAGGGAATCTTCAGCTCCTGAGCAGCAGGGAGAAGCTGTCACCCAGCCTAGAGAATTATCAGCTGAGGAGAAGCTGAGGGGTGTGTGATATAAATAATATCTTATAGGGATCCACTTTTCAATTTTTTCCTCTCTCTCCCATACAATCTCTCTACTTCCACTTTGGTTAACTTTCTACTGTATTTTCAATGCTTTATTTCATTGATTTGTTTCTGCATTCCTTCTCCTGCTACTGCACAGCTGCCAATCCTACTCATGGTGAGGTTACATAGAATTACTCAAGCAGGCTGCACAAGATTGTTCACAGGGAGCAGTTGTAATTTGCATGAATCAAGGTCTACCTTTACTGCATTTCCCAAAGGATTCCCTTTCAGCACATTCAGAGACAAGGCACAAACCTCATAATTCCCCGTGTGTTGGTAGCGACCTAAATTCAGAACCCTGACCATTTTCATTATGGATGTACTTGGATAATGCAGCATAACCTCCTTCCCCTTGATCAGCATGCTCATTTCCCTCCTCTTAAGCACCTCTGAGACATCTGGAATTGAATTACAGCTCCTTTTGCCTCAGATTTGTGTTCTCTCTCATCTGCATTGATACGTCCAGGCGTTCGGTGGCCTTCAGCCACATCATCCATCTCTCATTTCACCCCGGGAGTGTTTAACTTTTTCTTTCCCCTTCCACCCTAGCACCCTCCCTCTTCCTCCCAGATGCAGCTGCAGTCCCTGCCCAGGACACTTGCGGTGAGACTCAGCTTGTTTGCCTTTAGCTGTCTAAAGTCTCGTGCTCGATCTGAGCGGTCCAGTCGTCGTCTATGGTCACTCGGGGCCACCGGGGCACCTCCGTCAGACAGAGCATCCCCTTGTGCCTTAGATGTCTCTGTCACACAGGCCAGCTCAGCCTGGAAGTCCCTGTTCTTCCCCTGAGTGACTTCAAGGTGATAGCTCAGTTTGGAACCTGTCTTTGGCACGTGGAGTTAGATGTGACCGACTCCGTTCTCTGTGTGCCTACAGAGGTCTGAGGATCCTGCCCTGATTCGTGCAGTGTTTTCATAGCCATGCTCTCATTTTAATTCATTTTCTTATATTTGTCTATTTTTTTCCTCCTTCATATTTTTTTTCTGGTTCCTGCCTCCTCTGTCTCTTCTCTCTTTCTCCCTTTCCTTCTAACAACATCTCTACTTTAAAAATAAATAAAAAAGTTTGCAAAATAAAAGGGGTAGGAGAAAGGAAAGAAAATGTCTATAAATTCTGTACTCTAAAAACCTGGGGTACTTTACATCATCTAAAATCAGAGAGTTTACTCTACTGAAATTATTAATGGCAGAAAATAAGTGTAACAGCACTAAAATATATTAAGGTTTTCCTAAGAAGTGCTGGCATTGTATTCCATCACAAACCTGTGTGTCACTGTCCCCTCAGTGGGTGTGGACCAGCAATTAATCCATAGATCATATTTTCAAAATCAAGTCCGATTTTTTCAATAATTCTAGTAAATACCAAGTGCTGTCATGTCAGGTCTATTCACCAGGAAAACCTATTAAAAAATCAATCCCTGTCAAATGAAACAGGGCATAAGCAGTAAAGGAAACATGGATGGGAATTTATTTCTAGATTGCCATGGCAACATTAGGTATATCATCAAAGACCTCAAACCTCTATAACAACCCACGGCTAAGACTTTTCAAAGTGATTATTGATTTTTTCAATGTTTCCTTTTCAGGTTTTGTACCTTAATATGCCTCGTAAGTGCTTCTTTTCAACACAGGCTGAGCAGCCCTCTTGTGGTAAAAATTGGTCTGAGAAATGTGTTTCAGATCAAGTGATCAAAAAAATGAGTGGCCCTCAAAATCCATAGTCACTTCTGAAAGCCTCAGTCACAATAAAATGGAACTATCCCCAAAACCTCTTTGCTCATTTTTGATCAGTCTAAGCAGACGAGTAATCCCAACTCAGCTCTGTGAAAAGCAGGTGGTACAAAAATCTAGCACAGAAATTCTAGTGTAAGAGGAGCAGTCATTTTCATGTTTACTTCCTCAGCAACATCCAAAAAATGAAATTCATTTTATGAGTTGAAACACAGTTACTATACCCATGTGCTGGATGTGTCCATGCCCCAAGACTGTATTCTTTCCGACTCTTATACTGTAATATTTAATAACAACACAGTTATCAGGCTTTAATTATCCAAAAGGAAGCAAAATATAACTCCAGTAATGGGGATTGACTTAAAGGAGTTAAAAGTAGGGGGAAATTAATGTTTTCAATTCATCCTGGTTTACTGTTCAGATTACAAATTCCGTGAGTTGCGAACACAAATCTTAGATTGTATAACAGAAACAGAGTTGGGTTTGTTTGAACAAACTTAAATGTTTGCCTTGAAGGCAATTGCTTTAAAAATCAACTTTTATTATCCTTTATATTAATGGAGATTTAGTTAGGGTACTCAGTGGTGTTTGGTATTCATCTCATCCTACAGTGGACATCTAAAATAGGTCAGATGTACCTGGCCAACAAATGTGTATTTCTCTCTCAACTGTTTATCCTGATGATGATTCTCAGGGTCCTAAGGATGTCCATTTTGCTTACACATCTGTACTGTAAACCTCCAGCCTCTCCTGAGGTGAATCCCACCAAAACAACCACATGTTGGAAACAAAACAAAAATTCTCCCCTTGAAAGATGACAAGAAATCACTATTTTCAATTTACATGTTTTTCAGCCCAGATATAAAATCTCTTATAGGATCCCTCCAAATGTCTCCATGTTTCAGACTACCCTTCTGAGTGACTGATTTAAATGAGCCCCTCCTGGCTGATTGGAAAGGAACTATTTTGTTCTCTGTTCCTAGAATCCAACATGCAGGGATCAAAGTCCTGCTCCACGGTGTATGAACTGCTGCTTTGATGATCACACTGTCTTAGCGTGTGTGACAAAAAAATAAGTGGTACCTCCAAAATTACCAGCCAGACATTCAGATTCCATACTGAGCTCCTTCCCCATCACCAAGGAAGATGGAAAAACAGCTTTGGTGTCCTTACTAGAACTCTGTTAAAAAGAAGGGATCCACACTACAATTCCACCTGATGGAATTAACCTTAGATTGATCCCCATCCTACAAGTTTTTGTTACTCTCTGATTGTTCTCCATGAGCATGCAGCCAGCTTTCATTTAATCTATTGTTCTGTGACCCCCTGAACAAAACCAGACCGAGCAGGTCCTGTGTATTTTGGATGCATTAGCGCTGCCCGCCTGCCCTCAGGGTGTTTGAGTTTTGGTTTGTCCGTGAATCAGCACATCACAACGGCCAGCACCAGCCAGTGCACTTTAATTTTTATTTAATCTTTTAATTTCTGCTTCAGTCAAGCAGCTGGTTCGTGCTGTGACTCCATTCTGTCGTGTCCGCTTTCCATCTTTGTGACGTGTCTCATGAAATGTGTTGAAAGTGACCTACCTTGGCCTGTTCACGATATGCTGAAAAAAATGCTAATCTTGTCATATTTAGCAGCTGCGTTCAGAAATGCTACTGTAAGCCTAAGAGGGCTAACCAGCACTCTTGCAAGATGTCAGAACTATCAACCATTACCCTGTAAGTGTACGCACTCCTGTGACATTACTGTGTGTGTGTGACGCATGTTGCAGTTAAATGAGTGGATGAGAGCAGAGGGGAAGTAACCAGAGAGCAAAGCATTCATTTAGTTCTTGTTGCATGTAGAATTTTTCTTTCTTCTTGTTATGTGCCTTTGCCGATGCGCTACGATCGAGGATTTTAAGGTTGTTTTATTTTTTCGCTTCCTTTTTTTTTATTTTTTTTTTTTTTTTTTTTTTTTTTTTTTTTTTTTTTTTTTTTTTTTTTTTTTTTTTTTTNTTTTTGGGTAGTGCCTGTACAGAATTAATAGATGCTCTTTATTGTTTTTTGGGTAGTGCCTGTACAGAATTAATAGATGCTCTTTATTGTACAGCAAAGAGGTGAGCACCTTCATATTGAGAGAAAATGGTTCACCTGCAAGTTTCCTAAAAAAACTGGGTGAGGTTGAGTCAATCAGACCCTCAGTGGGAATAAAACGTCTTTTGTCCATTGAACTGAATGAAGTTAATTTAATAAACATCCAAAAATGAGGAAAGGCTAAAGTTGACCTAATATCAAAATTAATTATATCCATCAGAATTTATAGAATCATAGAATCACTAAGCTGGAAAAGACCTCCAAGATCATCAAGTTCTGTCCAATTTTGTCAAATATCATCAAATATAAAATGAGGCATCCAGAAGAGTGAATAAAAGTCATTCAGCCAAGAGTTGTGTGCATTAATCACTATCCTATAGTTCATCTGACTCCTTGCTCCTTGCACAAGAAACCCACAGATTTTCACAGATTCATGGAAATATTAAGGTTGGATAAGAGCTCCAAGGTCATTCTTTCATTTTGTTTAGATGAGGTGCAATTTCAGACATCTGTAATATGTTTTCTGATGATCTGTCTCCTGAATTTCACAGCAGTTCATAAGTGTGAATCAACATTCTCTGAACTGTCCTGTCACACAGACCCAAGACTCCAGGATTTTGCTAAGGAATATTTAGTAGCTATATTCAAAACCATTAAGGAAAAAAACATTTGTTTGTAACTTAACTCATATATGGTTATGTTTTTTAATTAGAAAAAAAAAATTAAAGTGAATTTTATGTGATTTCATATATCTTTGAGGTATTTAAGAATTAGAACAATGAAGATCCTGAAAAATATTCAGTCAACAGACTAGAACTGTGCAAAAGCAGATAGAAACAGAGAGGACAAAAAGGAGCAGCTGTGTCTTCTACACAGAGAGCAGCTGAAGACTAAGAATAGTTGGGTAAAACTGGAAGTTAGGTTTAGGAGGAGATAGTTTGAAATATAAAGTTCACTGCCTAATGAACATCCTGATGCAGCCCAGACATCCTGTTGGGCCTTTACAGAGAACCAAATTTTACATTAAATGCAGTGTTTCTGAAAGATGGGAGACTGATAACTCTCTAAGGTGAAATCCTCTACCTAGTCAAGGGCAAGAAGAGTTCAGCCTAACAGGAGGTATTTAAACCTATGTTTTTTGTGTCTGTTGAAGTATAAAAGTCTTGGTAAGCTTGCCTGTTTTTCAAGTCCTTGGTCTGAAGATGTGGTTTATGCATGGGAAAATTAAAACTCTGGAATAATTCCGGTGTTACCTCAGGTGTTTTGGAAATGATGCTGCAGACCTAATTAAATTTTGGAACAGATCTGTCAGGGAGATTACTGAAGTTCCTGAAAGTCACTTTAATATTTTCATCATTTTGTGATAAAATAGATCTTTCAGTTTATTAAACATGAACTGTGTCGAGCATTTCATTACTAATGACATCCTGTGCCTTTGTGGTTTGCTCTTTATCCTTCAATTTGAAATACTGTCACGATTTTTTTTTTTTGCAGAAATTTATCACAGATGAATGATGAATGAACCTTTGGCCAGAGAAATTGGGTTCCTCTAATCTAAACCTCACAAATCTACAGGGCAGAAATTTGTGTGACAAACTCAGTCCAGGTTCCCTTTGAGGTCAATGGACAGATTTAGGATGTGATAAGAATTTCCTTAAGGGCAGAGGATTTGTCCTTTTGTGTCAGTGATTCTTCTTCATAAGGGACTTGAGGTCTGCTTTTAATTTACAAAAAAATAGATGCCATCATTACAGATATATCACAGCATTAAGTTAATAAATATATACAGAAATAATCATACTCAATACCCACAGGGTTTTCAACAGAAGTCACCTTGCGTTAAAAAAATAACTGTAGAACACAAGAATTAAGTTTTTAAAGTGTATTTTTCTCTGCATTGACTTTAGAGACAATTTAAAATAATTTCATTATCAATATCTACGTTATGTATATCCAAACCTCGGTGAGGTGAATGTTGCTTTTAAGGACTACACACCTTGATGTCTTCATTGAAAAAAATTATATTTGATCAAAGTATATTTCACTTAGGACAGCTTTGAAACTGGGCAATTCTCTTACTTTAGAGAGGCAGGATTAAATGGGAAAACAACAATATAATATTCCTTTAAAATCTATGGTTTCAAGATTTTTTCTTCTTTTTTGATTTTTTTCTCTCAAATAGGTTCAGAAGTTGAGACTTCAGCAATCTCCTTAATAAATGTGGATGTGCAATGGAAAAATAAAAGCATGATTCTTTCAAATACTGGTCAAATTAGACAACGTTCCTACGTAGTGTTTCTTTTAGCATAAAGTTCTAATTTCATTGCTCCATAGAGGAGTGAGGGAGAACAGAGGACACCTCTATTTGTTTGTACTAACACTTAAAAAAAAGTCCACATTCATATCCATGTTACTGGGGAAAGTCTTATGTTTGAAGTGATTTTAAGGAAAATAACAGCTGGAAAACAGAATGTCAGCCTCAACAAAAATTGATATTCAAATAGCTTTTTCTTTTTTTTTTTTTAAGTAACCTTAAGACTTTCCTCTCCCTGTGGGAATGTGAACAAGGCTTTTGCCAGACCTTTTGGAGAACATTATCTTCCAAACATCCACCTAAACAATTATTGTCCTCAGAACTTCTAGATTCATTCCCCTGAGTTTTTTGCCTGTCTGAAAGAGTGGGGGAAGAAAAGAGGATTAATATCTTTGGCTGTTACACACCTGAGAATTCCACTGTATCCTTTAAGATTTTCATTCCCTGTTGCACATAAACTTATACATCTCACAGGACCTGCTTTTATTCTTCTCTCTTCCTGATGCTCTGGAGAAAAAAACAATTTATCATCATCCACACAGACATTAATGTCTCTCAAGGCTTTTCTTATCATTAAAATATCTTCTTTACCTCTTTATTTATCTTAATAATTCATAAACTTCAGAATATGTTATTTAATGTGTTTTCTTCCTCACTTTTATGACAATATTGAAGACAACACCTCAAATAAGCTAATGATGGCATTATACTTCCAGATCATAAAAACTAATTGTGTGATTAATCAGGTATGATTGATGCCAGAAAACTGACAATAAAAAAAGACTTCCTCTGCATCTTCCCCTGAATTAATCTCCCAAGAGTGCAGTGAGACAGAACATATTAATAGACAATTCTGCTCTGACTTTTAGATCAAAACAACATTTATCCTTTTGTTGTTGTTGTCATTAAGTCTGAATATAAATGATAGAAGATATGGAGAGATGTTTTTTTTGTCCAGTTTATTACTTTTAACTTGATTTTTTTTTTAATTCCATTACTACTTTTAAGACACTTATATTCTCTACATCCCTTTTTTACAGAGATAACATTGTTCTTTAATATCTTCCTCAAATTTCTGTTCCTTTTTATTAACCTGATTGCATGTCCATGGAGAAAAAGGACTAGAAAGGACTCCAAAAGCTCTTTTACACTTGCTCACTCCTGTATAAATTACTTTTTATAGAGATCATCAAAGCTGGACATTCTGAATGCTCTTCATCACCCTGTTCCAAGGTGGTTTCTCTCTTTTCAAAAGATTTTGGCCAATATCTTATTATATAACCCGCAAGAAGAGTGTTCCCTGTTTTGTGGGGTCTTCCACCAAGACGTGAGGCTTGGTGTTCATCAGATTTATGGCTCAGGTGTGCTTAGTGCAGTCTCCAGGCAAGACTTAGGATGAATTTATGGAGCTCAAGGTCTGACTGAGGGACACCAGCACTGCACCCATGTCCCATTCCCAGATCACTACTGGAGATAATTGCGCTCACAAAATTCTTGCAAGTGTGTTAATTAAGTCTTCTAAAACAAACACAGCATTTGGGGTTATCACTGAGCATGAATTAGCAAATTCAAATCTGTCTGCAATGTACCAAATAGATAAAAGCAGAGGGGAAATTTAAGTTTGAACAAATATGCAGTTCTTTGAAAAATCTTTACAGCTTTTTACCTTCCTTTGTCCTCCATCCTTCCTTTTCACTTACCTGAACATAGTCAATGATATTCTTCCCCTCTGAAAATGTCCTGGAGGTTTTTTAGGTCACTTTGTTTGCCTTATTTTCAGAAAATTTGTTTTCTCTTTGCTTTTTTTTTTTTTTTTTTTTTTTTTTTTTTTTTTTTTTTTTTTTTTTTTTTTTTTTTTTTGCTGCTCAATCAGTGACACTCACCAAAACACACACAAGTCTTTTCTGGCCCCTACTTTGGGGCTATTTCACCAGTAAAGTGCTCACATGTAAAACATTTATTTTCAGCCCTTTTGTTTATATCGTCTAAGCTTAATTTCCCTCTGAAACCTCTTTATTCTGAAGCAGTGAAATAGTTAAACAGTGAAATCGCACTTAGGTTTCCAACTGTATAAGCTGATACCAAAATCAAATCTTCAGGAATGCTTGTGAGTACAAGAACATGAAGGGGGATTAACTTTTATTTATATGGCTGTTGGTGGTTATATCAGATTTTTTTTTGGGGGTTTTTTTTTTTTTGTTGTTGTTGTTTGTTTGGTTTTTTTGCTTTGCACAAACATATTCACACACACACACAGAAATCAACAAAAAGAAATTATTTCAAACACTCCACCAGGATTAAACAATCGGGTGAGAGGTTTATAATTGTACCATAGTAGCAGTCTGAACCCCTTAGAAAAATTCCCCTCATTTTTTGGCATGGTAGGAGAAAATCCCTTCTTTTAAGAATGCAAATTAAAATAGCAGCAGCGAGAATTAAGCATAATTAATGTGCCATTACTGTAGCAGTGTGAAGAAGGGGGAGCAAACTGCAGTGTGTGTGCAAACAGGCTTTGGGAGCAAACAGAAATGTTGCATATTTGTTTGTATAATTACGCGGCGTACGTATTTCCCAAAAGTCTGTCAGCAAAATATTTTCTCTGCTTTCTTCTTTAATTAAAGTGCAGGTTGCTAATTGCAAGGCTGCATTAAAGTTCTTTCCCTCTGTTGTGACAGGAGACTGGCTCGCTCCACCCTGCTGCTGATCCCTTTGTTTGGAATTCACTACACGGTGTTTGCCTTTTCTCCTGAGAATGTCAGTAAGAGGGAGAGGCTGGTGTTTGAGTTGGGACTGGGATCCTTCCAGGTGATTATACACTGAATTCAGCTTTCCTTAGAAACAAACCTCTGCTCTTTATAACTACTTTGCATGCACAGTTCTCAGAGTGTGTCTCTGCTCATTTATGTGTATGTTGGGTTTTTGTTTTTGTTTTTGTTTTTTTCACTCCAGCTATCTCCTGTCATTCCTTCAGGATTTGAATTATTTTTTTTTTCTCTCTCCCATTTCCCTAGGGTTTTGTTGTCGCTGTTCTCTACTGCTTCTTGAATGGGGAGGTAAGATTTTTAATATTAAATGTCATTCACCTGTCATCCACATCCCATTTTCTTGTGGGAGTAACTGTTGTTCCAACTGTCCATTCTAACTCATCATCTACCATAATCCCTGATACTTTAGTCTGAATCTCACAATTCTCAAAAAAAAAAAAAAAAAAAAGAAAAAAGGATTTGTGATCTCTTTATCAAAACAAAACATTGGCCTTACCAGAGATGATGGCTCAGATTAAGGCTTCCTGGCAGGGGTAAGATATATACAGGCCTCTCCTGAAATGTCATCCCAGGTACAAAATTTTGCACTGGTTTTATTGAATTTTGCCCTGCTCTTGCCAGCCCAGTCTCCTAGCCGGTTCAACTCTCTCCAAGAGGTCTGACATGTCTCTGTCACCACCCAGTTTGGAGCCATCAGCCAAACTGGTGATGGTGCTTGCAATCTGAGATTCATCAGAAGATGGTGAGGGCCTGGCACAGGTTACCAGAGAAGCTGTGGCTGCCCCTGGATCCCTGGAAGTGCCCAAGACCAGGTTGGATGGGGCTTGGAGCACCCTGGGATAGTGGAAGGTGTCCCTGCACATAGCAGGGGGTGGAAGGGGATGACCTTTAAGGTCTCTTCCAACCCAAACCATTCCATGCTCTGTGTGGGGCCCAGTATCCATACCTGGAGGGCACCATGGATGATAAAGTGCCAGACTAAATAAAAAACCATTGTTCACCTCTCAGTGTGGCCTCCTTCCCCTCCTGCAGATCATCAATCCACTCTAAATCTTTCCAGCTTTCCTGGGAAGAGGCTGAGGGGAGCAGTGTCAAGCCCTTCACTGAAGGCTGAGTTCTTGGGCACCACCCAACTGGTGCCAGCTTCTCTCCTGAGCCCTGCCACCCTCACCCCTACACACACACAGCCCAAGGGTGTCAGATGCCCAGAGCCATCCCCCAGACACCACCTGGGTGCCTTGCAAGCCTCACACTCCTCTCAGCACACGGCATCTGCTGCTGGCCACATCTGTGGTTTCTCTGGTTCTCCTGTTCCAATCTGCATTTCCCTGCCTGTTTATCCGACTGAACGACACTGTTGAGGCAGGACGGGAACGAGGAGACTGAGTCAGAAGGTTGAGAGAGTAAAACTCTGATTTATTTCAAAATGGATCACTCTTTATACAGAGCTTCGTGCAGACCAACTCTATTGATCCTGAATTGAAAGCAACCCACCCATTGGTGCACAGTGCATGACGCACAGTGGTAGAACTTAACTATAAACAATGTGATCAACAACAGAGATAAAGAACTATTTACATTCTGTTCAGAACTTTCTCAAGCTTCTGCCTGGTTAGAAACTTTCTGTTTCTCTCTTTGACTGAATCTGAGACTGACAACTGAGTATCTGAAGTCATTGTTTTCTGAATTGATGGAAAAGGGTTCTCTGCTCAATGTTGCCTTAAAAGGAGCATAGAACATGTAGAGTCCATTCATTCTCTCCTCCACTGCAGCACATCTTTTGTGCAGCCCAACATTTGGAGTCTTTTCCTAAAATCAGCTTATTTTCTTCTTTCCAAGGGGGCTGACTTTAGGTATAACCTGGCATTACTGACCTCTGTACAAAGAGGTCTCAAACTCCTTAATCCAGGTGACTTCTCAGACAAACCACAACAATCTTCAAGCTCATCAAACAAACTTATGGGTTATCTTTGCCCCTGGGCATAGTCAAGATCTCCTGAAGCCCCTTGGAAGGAGTGGGGGGTGGTTCTTAGCCAAACCAACCAGATTAATGAAAGCCATTTTCCCTCTCAAGATATCAGAAAATGGTAATTAGAGAATGTCTTGTGCTTCCACTAAATTTCCTACAGCAAGAAAATGTTTGGAATATCACACTCTTCCAGATGCAAACACTATTCTCTTTTCACAGAGAAAACATAACTCCATTCTCTATCTGATTTATAAATATCTATGTTTTAGATAACTTTAACCCAAATAGGAATTTTTAGGTCCTAGAAGGAGAATGTAACCAGTTGGATTTTTCCTCCCTGTAGTTTTTGTCCATACAGTTGAAGCCCTTGTTTAGCATTTTTATCTTATCCTTTTTAACAATATTAAGCCTAGAAATCCAGCAATGACTGTTACAGCAGCTGTAACAGTGATACAACGACTGTTATCTCTGACACAGCAGCTCATTGGAGACTGGAAAAATATATTGGGAAAACATCTCTACATATCTCCTTTTTCTTACACTATTTCATTCAGAAATATGATACAGGAACAAGTAATCAAGTAAATGTTGGCCCAAGCTACTATAATCGCTCTTATATTAAATCTTTACTACTTATATTAGTTATACACTTGTGCACACCCCAGCAGTGTTGCCAGGAAACTGGGAAAGAGTGAAAAGTAGAAAAGCTGTGGGATTATTTACTTATTGCCTAAATGAACTTCTGACCTTGGATTGTTTTACTCTTGGTGATTTACTGTGGGTGCCAATAAAATAAAATAACCTCTTAAGAAAAGGAGGGTGGCACAGCTGTGCATTAATCCCAGAGCTGGTCTACTTGGAGAGGATCTGAAAGCAAGAGGCAAAATTTTGTGCAAACATCCAGCCATTAATGGCAGGTGAGAAAAGCTGCCTCTGTGGACAGGGTGTTTCAATATTATCCAGCACTTTTTGACTGCTGGTTCCTTTGGCTCCTTACTGTATCTTTGGTACTGGCCAATGATGCAAACAGGCTGTTTCTTCCTCCAGGTGGTGTTGATCAGGTCTTCCATGCACCTCTGGGCTGATCCTAAATTATCTGAAGTTAGACACAGAACCTGAGCTGGGCTGTAGCTCCCCGCTACATGCCCAGGCCTCTTCCAGCCATGGAAAAGTAATTTCAGATTTTGCTGAACTAAGGAGTTTAATAATTACCTTAAAAACAGTTCTGTTGAATTGTGGGGTTTTTTCTAATCTTGATAATTTGTCAGCATGTCCTCGAGCGGCTAAGTACATAAAAAATGACCTTTTGAAGTTTCTCCCTAAAGGTGCAATCAGAAATAAAGAGAAAATGGAGGAGCTGGAAAGTCAACCGGTATTTTGCTGTGGATTTCAAACATCGCCATCCTTCTCTAGCGAGCAGCGGAGTGAACGGGGGGACACAACTCTCCATTCTGAGCAAGAGCAGCTCTCAGATTCGGATGTCCAGTATAAATGCAGAGAACCTGGCGACATGAGCAGCTGAGGAGAGCAAAGGAACCAACGAGCAAACCAAAAACCATCCCTTGAAAAAGAAAAAAAGGAAATAATAGTTTTGGTGGTGGTGCAGGTCTCGCTTCCTCTCCTCTCCTCTCCTCTCCTCTCCTCTCCTCTCCTCTCCTCTCCTCTCCTCTCCTCTCCTCTCCGTTTCCTTTCCTTTTCTTTCTTTTTCTTTTCCTTTCCTTTTTTCCTCTCCTTTTTCCTCTCCTTTTCCCCCTCTCCTTTTTCCTCTCCTTTTTCCTTTCCTTTTTTTTCCTCTCCTTTTTCTTCTCCTCCCCTCGCCTCCCCTCTTCTCTCCTCCTCTGAAAAAAAAAAACAAAGGAAATNTCCAGGTGGTGTTGATCAGGTCTTCCATGCACCTCTGGGCTGATCCTAAATTATCTGAAGTTAGACACAGAACCTGAGCTGGGCTGTAGCTCCCCGCTACATGCCCAGGCCTCTTCCAGCCATGGAAAAGTAATTTCAGATTTTGCTGAACTAAGGAGTTTAATAATTACCTTAAAAACAGTTCTGTTGAATTGTGGGGTTTTTTCTAATCTTGATAATTTGTCAGCATGTCCTCGAGCGGCTAAGTACATAAAAAATGACCTTTTGAAGTTTCTCCCTAAAGGTGCAATCAGAAATAAAGAGAAAATGGAGGAGCTGGAAAGTCAACCGGTATTTTGCTGTGGATTTCAAACATCGCCATCCTTCTCTAGCGAGCAGCGGAGTGAACGGGGGGACACAACTCTCCATTCTGAGCAAGAGCAGCTCTCAGATTCGGATGTCCAGTATAAATGCAGAGAACCTGGCGACATGAGCAGCTGAGGAGAGCAAAGGAACCAACGAGCAAACCAAAAACCATCCCTTGAAAAAGAAAAAAAGGAAATAATAGTTTTGGTGGTGGTGCAGGTCTCGCTTCCTCTCCTCTCCTCTCCTCTCCTCTCCTCTCCTCTCCTCTCCTCTCCTCTCCTCTCCTCTCCTCTCCGTTTCCTTTCCTTTTCTTTCTTTTTCTTTTCCTTTCCTTTTTTCCTCTCCTTTTTCCTCTCCTTTTCCCCCTCTCCTTTTTCCTCTCCTTTTTCCTTTCCTTTTTTTTCCTCTCCTTTTTCTTCTCCTCCCCTCGCCTCCCCTCTTCTCTCCTCCTCTGAGGTGAAAAAACAAAGGAAATATGTAAATATCTCTTTTTAACAGCCACTGTAAATACCCAGCTGTACTCAAGGCCAATAATGGAGAATGTTTAAAAGACAAACAAGAGGCCAAACCCACCCACTCAACTATTCCCATTTCAGAGCATCTGCGAGTAATCCGTGTCCGTCCAAAGTAACAAGTGATTGCTGTGCAGTTGTGATCCTCGGTTGCCAAACTGATCCTACTCTGTGAATGGACATGACCGTTGTCATTTTTCCTCTTGGTTTCCATTTTGGGTTGGACTTGCCTATTTTTGTTTTTCCGTAGTCCAACATGTCTTAGCCTGTCCCTGTCGTCTTTTGGCACGTGAATCTCTGCAGTGTTTCTCTTTGGAGTCTTAGGATGGAGCTGACGTGCTTGGGTGATCAATCCAGCTGATTCAGGAGGATCTCCAGAAAATTGAGTTCGTGGCTGGATTCAGTCAGACATTCCCGATGGATTTACAGGAACAGCTGTGCCAACACAAAGCTGCACATCAGTGCAGGAACTTCAGGCCAGAGCAGTGGGACCTGCTGTGCTTTTCTGTACCCAGGGACTCTCCCAGGAATGCTTTCTGTTCTAGCTAAGCTGTGAATTTTCTAAAAGGGCCATGCAGTTGAGATATAGCTCTATTTTTGGCATCGATTAATAGATTGAGCATTTGGATTCTTTGAGTAATACAAAGAACTGTCCCTCCCCTCCCACCGTAAGAGCAAGAGGCAGTTCCAGGGTGGCCTTTCCCTCCAGATGACCTTGAACCCTCTCCTCCAGTGGCCACACGTGGCGTGGGTGTCCTGGGGGCAGTGCTGTCCCACAGAGCGCCGTGCCTTTGCAACCTGGTTGACTTTCAAGGGCTGACTCTTCCCTGCCAGGGCAAAGAGGCACAAGAAGGACATGGTGGGATCACCCTGGAAGGGAAAAAAATCACCTGCATTTGGTGAGGGAAAAACCAACTAAACCAAACAGCAGGATGGCACGGAAAGAAGGGATAAAGACTTTGGATGACCTCCCACACCTGCAGTTCTCTCTCTCTTGGAATATTCTGTTTGTTTCACCACCAATGGTCTTACTGCTTTTCTTGGAGAGGAACTCGAATGTTCTTTCAATCTTTGCCTTGTAGTTAAAGCCACGACTGCTACAAATCTACTTCAACCCAATGTCAATGATGTCAATTCTTATGAGTCTTTATACAGCGCAAAAAAAGGCTTCGAGGGCCGTCCTAGCGCTCCCTTCATCTCGGATTTATGAATTTATAAACTGAGAAATATATATATATATATCAAATATATATATATGTGCGTGTATGTGTATGCATATATTACAAACAAAGATGAAAATGGCATTTTAAATATGAAATTTTGAACTGAAACTAATAGTAACCAGGAAATTCAAAATTCAGGCTTGTTCTTTGGTGTTAGTTGACATGATCATAAACTAAAAACAGGAAAAAAAAAGTGAAATACTTGGAATTTTAGTGTCAGCTGAGTGTGAGCTTTTAATTTCACTGGTTTTTGTTAGTTTAAGTACAAAAAAAAGAGTTTTGATGTCATTTTAAGCAAAGATTTTTAAAGATAATCCTAGTTTACTTATTTTTAAAAGGAGAAGAAAAAGAAAGGTCTCAGAAAGTTGTGCAAGAAATATTAATTATAATAATACTTAACACTTATATAATCCTTTATGGGAATATTCTGCTCTTGGCTGGAGCCATCTAAATGAATGTAAATTTTATTCAAAACAGACAGAAATGTTGTTTGAGGTCATATTGGTACAGGATCATGCTCTTAAGAGATGGGGACAGCCCTGTCATGTGAAATCTGCCGTGGCACAGAGGACCAGCAAAACAGGTGAAACCACTTCCATTGTACTCCAGGTTCATAAGTGGGATTTATATGATCCAAACACCGTTTTTTCCCCAAGTCAACAGCACTGATTTGCTGCTCTGAGAGCAGAATTTGTTTCCCTCTTCCCAGCTCTCTGCAAAAGTCAAAGTGTTTTTAACTGATAGATTGGCCCTTCATCCTTCTTCAGATGCTTCTTAAAGCTATTTTAGAATGTTTCTCCAGGAATCAGGTACTTTGCTATCCAGACAGAGTTGGGGAAAGGCAGATTTATCAGGTAAATGCATATTTGGCCATTTTCTCTAGAATGGGCTTTCACAAGGATTATATTGCCCAAACTGTAGATGTATTATTATTATTATAAAAAAAACAAACAAAAGCTATTTTTTTGCATGAATGGCTATTAGCCAGTTTTCAACCATTCATAAATTAGAACTGTGGATAAAAAACATGTCAAATAACTGCCTCTAGCTGGAGGCTTTTTCTTGCTTCAGTCCAGAGCAAGAAGGTGTTTGGATCTTTTTTTTTTTTAATTTATTTTTTGCTGTTGTTGAAATTTTTCTGAGCTTACTTTGGGGTTTTATTGTTTTCCTGGCCTTTCTAGAGTGCTCTGCAATTTGAGTTGGTGGATCTCAGTCCAGTGCCTTGTGGGCAAATGTCCACATCACCAAAACCACCCTCTGACCCTGCACACTGGAGACCAGGTCCTCAGCTAAATTCAATCAGTACAGAAAACTGCTGGTATTGTTAGAATAAACTGCTTCACCTGGAATTGGGATTTGGCCTAAGCACATTGCTATTACCAATAATTTCTGGTGGTCCCATTTAGAGAGTCCATGGATGGAAAAATTGGGAAAAGTTGGATTTGCTCCTTAATTCCTTGAGCCAGTGCTTAGGAATTTGGAGAGCAGTGGAGGGGAAATTTCTACTGTTGCAGACCTTGTGTTTCTTGTTCAGTAGAGAAATGGAATCTGTTCACCAGCACCGAATTTACCAGAAGAAATGGGATCTTCAACATATTAAATATAAAATATATCATTTAAAAAAAGGAAAAAAAAAAAAGAAAACAAAACAAAACCTTCTATTATGATTTTATTTCTCTGAATAAAAGTGTTGATGCACTGGCAGATTTGGCTTTTCCTGAGTCACTGGAAGTTTCCAAGTGTCCCTGGAAGGAACAGGTCACACTTGAGGTGGACACAGTTATGGGATCCAGACTCTGATGCCGTGGCACAAGTGAGCTCTCCACAAATCTCTCTGTTGAATGTAAGCTGCAGGTGCTGGCCAGGCGTGGCCACCCCACAGTGGCTGTTTTCCCATTTGCTTCAGGAGGGAAGAATCCAACAGGCAGTTTGCTTCTCTGTGTGTGTAAATATCAACTGAGTGTAACAGTGCTTTGTTTGATTTTTCACTGTGAAATATATTTTGGAGCTAGAAAGGCTGTGTTATTAAAAACAATACACAATTAAACAAACAAACAAAAAAAACAAACCCAAGTGTGCAGTGCTCCTTGAGCCATTTTTTTTACCATGTCCATAATGTATTTCCTGTCTAATTTTCTTATTTTGCTTTTATAAATGTACAGCAAACTTTTTGTGCTGCAGGTTTTGTGACTATTTACTGTATCTAACCACTGTTTTGATTATTGACTTGTCAGTGTGGAGTGCTGGTACTGCAGGACAATTCACATCCCAAAAAATGAAAACTACAACCTAGATTGTAAAGGATGAGGCTGTTTCATTGCTGCATGGTGATGTCACCTCCTTTTACTTTCACTTTTAGTATTTCTGGAACTCAGAGCCCGGGGAAAGAACCTTTAATGCTTAATTCTGGGAAGTTTTGAATCACAGAGGGAAAACACCCAAGTTCCTCTGCATCATTCACATGCATAATTTGAGAACCAGGTGTTAAAATTGAATGGTGGGAGAAGGGATGAAGGTAGGTGAGACCAGAGGAAAATGCAGTTTGGAAGTTAAATCCAGACACTTTATTGGGTGTTTGGCTGCTCTCCTTCAGCATCTGTCTCTCATTGCACCTTAAGGACAGTGCCCTGCAAT